CTATATGGACCATAATCCATTGCAAGCTATATGGACCATAATCCATTGCAAGCTATATGGACCATAATCCATTGCAAGCTATATGGACCATAATCCATTGCAAGCTATATGGACCATAATCCATTGCAAGCTATATGGACCATAATCCATTGCAAGCTATATGGACCATAATCCATTGCAAGCTATATGGACCATAATCCATTGCAAGCTATATGGACCATAATCCATTGCAAGCTATATGGACCATAATCCATTGCAAGCTATTTGGACCATAATCCATTGCAAGCTATTTGGACGATAATCTATTCCAAATCAGAAACTTATCTCCACCTATTGTAACAGTGGAGGATCCAGCACTAATTCACTAATTTTCATCATAAAACAAAACGGTTTATTTCACGGATTTGTTTTGTGATCGAAATTGGTGAACTAGTGCTGGATCCGCCAGTATGCAAACCCTTAAGTGAGTGTATGTTACAACTCTACTTCTCTCATTCTTATTCATGTTGAGCACTGTGTGTGTTCAATATTTTGTAGGATCTTTAGTATGTCATATGTCGCAAATCATTGTTGATTGGATGATGATTTTTGATAATGTAGAGCAAGGGACTCCAGTGGAGCTAGCAGCACAAAACCTGAATGGTCCATTTATCAGCTACAGAATATGGACCCAATTCAATTATATAAGACTGTGGTAAGGTTGGTCATATCTCATACTTAATCATCCATCCATCTATCTATCCATTCGTTCATTTTCATTTGATTTTTTTCATTTATTAATTGAATTCATCCATTCATCACAGTTGTTCATTCATTAATGCTGGTAATCCATTTGTTGATTAGTTGGTGTATTTTTTCATCTAGTTGTCCATTTTGTTTATTATTTCATTCATTCATCCATTCATTTGTCCACTGTATACCTTACAGATGCCACTTGCCAATAGATGTCAGAAGGATAATCCRCAAGCTTTTCATCGCTTAGTTTGTGAACAGCATATGTTTTTAAGATCATGTTGTCTTTATGACCATGAAAAYGAGAAGGACAAGAAAAAGATCAGAAAACTGTTATGTGAATCGTCTGCAAATCTTGGGGACTTATAYGCAAGGTATTGTATCAATGATAATGATGATTGTGGTTAAGATTGTGATAGTGATTGTAGAGCCCAAGACTAACATTGTATAGCACWGTTCATTTAAGACATTTTATACAACTTTTCAGTAAAATCAGACGTTTCGATTGGTTGGCTTTCGTGTGTTATCAAAGTATAGATACACGGACTGCGTCTCGTGCGTACTTTTTTGTTCTCACTACATTTTGACGTCATCTGTGCGTCTCGTGCGTACTTTTTTGTTCTCACTACATTTTGACGTCATCTGTGTATCTATTAGAGTACACACGCACGGAAAAATGAGATCTATTTGTTAAATAGTACATTCAAAAAATAATACTTTTTCATTGGTTGAGAGGAGTACTATTACAGTGTTAATTGTACTCGTCATAAAATTTTGTTTCACTAAATGTGCTATAAACAAAAAATCGCACAAATCTCAAATTGCGAAGAACTGTCAAAACATTACTCATGGCTTTAAAAAAACTGTACTCAAGGTCATGTGATTTCCTATACTAACCAACATACTTACTAGTTATAAATCAGTTGTATTTGTGATCATTTGGACTCGACGTTTCGACGCTATCTGGCGTCATTCTCAAGAGGAAATACATTTGAGGAAATCAGTTTGAGGCTGTATTTCCATCTGTCTTTTTAAAATATATCTATAGTCGTTCTTGTTTTATTGAAACAGAGCAAAAGGAGAAGAATGCACATATAGTTCAGAGTACTACAACATGTCTGGGCTTCCTTTCCRCGAGGTGGTGAGTAGGGCCTGGAAACTAAGTGGTGAAGGTCTGGCATACTATTTGGATCAAAAACTTTTTGGATCAGATGAGCCTGTTGTTGTATCCGAGGTAATTAATAAAATCAACATTTATCCTTCACATGTTGTTTGTTTTGGGCTTCCTGTGTAATAGACAGGAAACCCAAAGCAGACTTAATGAACAATTTAAACCTTTAACATGTGAAAGCCAAATTATTAATAAACCTTTTTACTCAAGGGAGTTGTCAAGAAGATATTCAAGATTTACACCCRAGTCAACCCTAGTCGTGTTTCCGAAGTCATTTTGATGTCATCCCTGACAGGTTTCTCTCCAGGTGCGCTAACCATGCACTCTTTATTCATACAAAACTAAACACACTCATTTCACTGTGTTGTTCTTGTCTCCATAGAGACCTCACTTGCTGCTTTACAGGAGTTAAAAAAGGCAGAAACAAAAGAAAAGACCAAATACAGGTATAAACTGGTCTCATTTATTTATTTATCCAAAGAACGACTGTTAATGGGCTTCAATCAATTTAATAGTTGAGTTTTGCAATCTCTTTTACGCTGTGTTAGCCTCAATTGTGTGCTAAAATAATCAGAAATGTAGATAAAACTCGTGAGATTTCCATTGGCTTCTATACTCATAGATCTCTTGCATTTNATATAGAGAATTGTAGGGAGACGGGACCTACGGTTTAACGTCCTTATCCGAGAAGACGTGATGATCTAACCATTTGCAGGTAGAGAAACAAAGGCAGCAACATCTCCTCAATTATTTTAAGACCCTGAGTGGTGGTCCGGCCAGGGGTTGAACCCCTGACCTCCCGCACAATAGTCCGGTGCTCTGCCAACTGAGCTAACCGGTTGTCAATCATTATTATCGTTGCTGTTGTTTTAAAGAAAATCAAAATGGTTTTGCACTGATATCAATTCTCTAGGGGCAAATATTACATGGAAAATCCGTGATTTTCCATCATGTGAAACAATAAGCAAGCTATGTGTTACTAGTACACAGGCAGCCCATCCAGTCAGTGATTGGCACATTTGATGCTTTTTAAAAACTTTTCAAGTGGGCGCTTTTTTAACAGTGTGAACACTCGCTCTTTATATTAAATGTGGGTTTCCTGTGGAAATACTAATGTCACTGCTACATAAGCTACAGTGTAGACTGTCTCTTTTCACAGTCACAGACTGCTTTTCTCTTGTGATTCAGTATTCATCTGTTGTATTTTAGGCTGAGATGATCGATACTGTTGTTGCAAACAGCTTTTTGCTTCATGATGACTATCAAYATTTGACGCCTCTATCTCAGGTAAATGTTGTGCAGCAATGCATGATGGGTAATGCACTACCCGCACTTTTTTATTGCTCCTTAAATCGTTCTTTAAAGCAGTTTTTGTCTTAACCTTTCAAAGGAAGAAGTAGTTGTGCAGTTTTCACGAAAACCTCTTGTACTGAAATTGTTTACGGACAAAGTAAAGTGCGGAGAAAACTCCCAGCATGCTTTGTTGCACAAAATGGCGTCGCTGCACCTTCCCTATTGACTGTCTTGATAAATTCTTAAAAAATATTAAAATAAATTTGGTAAATTGGATAAATGGGAAAGAATGAAAGGGAATTGATGAAATGGAAAGAGGAGAAAATAGGAGAGAGAGAGAGAGAGAGAGGGAGGAGAGAGACGTCACTTTAATTCAATGGGCAAAAATAGCTTTTCTCTTTATAGATGTTGCGTAAACACAAACCGGCCATTTTCCTATCTATCYTGCTTCGTCTTCATGATACTAAGAYGTGGTSTCTTGACACTATTGTCAGTCTACTTGGGGTAAGTAAAAACTTCCTCTCATCCATGAACTCTTTCACTCCTTGATTGATTTATTTATCGTTAATAAATCCATCCATGTCCTTGTTATCTTGTGTAAACTATCCATATATACAAAAATAAATTAAGTTTAGGTTTGTTTTCAGGCGAACCAACCAGATGCTCTGTTCAATTACCAAGTGACGGAGTTTCTAGAGGCTGTTCTTAATGGTAAGTATATTATAATCCTTTTCTGAAATAGCATAGCGCATTGCATTGTGRTATATAATCGGTACAAACATCTTTTGTTTCTGTGGCCATATATGGTGTTGTTTGTACTGAATCTAGACCACAATGCACCTTGATTTCGTATTATTTATCTTACTGGGGTTGAACTCTTACTCTCGTAAGGAATYCACAATAGCCTCAAAATATACTCTCGTTGTGATATTGAACAGGAATAACGCGGGCTTATACTATTTATGTACTGTTTATTTTTTCAGATAAACGAAGAATTGAGTCATTTCCCAGTGCTGTGGTAAGTCATCWSTATCACTGATAACYAGTYGTGTTATRTGAACAAGCATTYATTTTCTGTCTTTAGGAGTGTYTGTGCGACATCTTGTTACTTCGTCTCGTCAGTTCATCTAAATCTGGTCAGACAATGGCTACTGCATCGCACCAGCACGTWGTAAGATACACATATATCGTACATTTGACTGTAGTTTGCTATTCTATTTTCTTCCTTTCTTTCCCACTTATCTCTCCTCTTTCTCTTTCCTTTCCCTCTCTTTTCTTCGATTCCTGTTTTGTTTTCTCCTCTTTATTCGTTTTCTTGTGTTTCTTTTATTTTCCTCTAAATTTCTTTTTTGTGATAACCATTATTTTTATATGGAACTCATCTAGACATAAAGTAATTGCCATTTTTGTTGGATTTTCTAGCCTGTCGGTGATGGTCACTTCTCAGCTCGCCACGAATGGCTCAACCAACTAGCACCATTTGCAGGTAGGCAAAATTACCCAACACTCCCCACCGTAGATACAATTTAGTAATTCCTGCCTTGCTCACTATAGGCTCTGCTCCAGTCCCCAACCCGTCTTGTCCAGTTTTTGGTAAAATCTCTGGGCACTCCTCACCGCGCATGCCTCGACACTTAACCAGACCTTCGTCGAGAAAGATGATCCCACATGGTTCTCCGACAGGTGGACATAAAGTTACCTTAGGGGGGTATAGAGAGAAAGGTAGTGGATGTGCATGCTGCTGTTGTATAGAGGACTTATTGAAACTACAGGTACGTATACGCATGCTCAGATGTGCTGTCTAAGTACTGCCCTTATATGTTTTTTGGGCATATTTCTAAGAAATTTTGTTATCCATTTCTTAAACGATTTTAGTACAAAAAGTATTACAAGAACTGATATCCTATCTTGAAAATAACATGCTTGTTTTTTTTGTTCACAGTCTTTGCTTTGTTCATCTTTTGCTTCAAGAAGTTTGTGTGAGTCAATTCTGTCCAAACTTGGAAACAAAACTGTCAATCATAGATTGTCTATCACGGTGTTGTGTCTTCCAAGAGTTGGAAAATTTCAAGAGGTAAGGACTCCATTCCGCAATGTCCTCGGTATCTATATATGGGATATAAAGCCCTTGGTCGGGTTGCTAAGACTTCTTTAAAGAGAAAATATTGTCTAACCGTACGAATTTCAGTTCATCTGTTGGTATAAACAGGCAATAAAGATACCCCTGTCAGAAGCTACTGTGTTTCGGTGAATGGCACGTTTACACTTGCGATTTTTCGTCGCGCGACCATCGCCTGAGTTTCGAACGTTTGAAAATTGTCTGCAACTTCGCGGCGAATTTCCATCGTCACATCAATCGCAGGGCTGTTTACAAGTACGATTTTAGTCGCGCGATAGCAAAATGGAGATTATATTGCACTGCAAAAATCGCAACTGCAAACGGGCCTAGGGAAAATTGTTGTTAAATCATTAATAACCATAATGTTCTTGTATTTTCCTGTAGGCGTCGGATCTTATTTTAGAGAAATGCCCAGTTGCCATGATTCCGTTTAGTAGAGTATTCTTCCAGTCCAACGTACACAAGGTACGACTGATCATAACAAGGTCGAGGGGGCCTGCGTCCTAAGGCAATCCCAAGTGTCCTTTGCGTGCCCAACTTCAAACTTAGTTATTTTTATAATAGATCTATTTTTTCTATTTTTAGTGGTCATATTTGTTGGATGTTTTACTAAAGAAGTTCCCTTTCAAGAATCATGACAATGATGAGGAAACCAAGACAAGACAAAAACTATTATTKAATGCACTTSAAGGTAAGAACAAACGTTTTCCAGGGCAAATTCTCTAGTCTGACTGATCTACAACATTCACAATTGTTCCATGTTTTCAATATTCCAGGCACTTTGTCCAAATTGGCACAGCTAACAAGTCCATTACAGTTATTGTCTCTGATGCCAGACGAAGGAGCTCTTTCATTCTTTATTCCTTATTTGCAACAAAGTGTTGAACGAYGTGGTTCAGAGAACATTTGCAATACGCTAACATCAAACACAACAAAAGACTCGTTTCACTCATATTAAGAAACAAAGCGAGACCAACACCTAAAGCACGAGGTTACCTCATTATTTCGCATGCAAACTGCAATAAACAAAACTAAAACTAATAAACGATTGAAATTGATCACTAAAACTAATAAAACATAGAATACCATCAAAAAGTACTACTTTTYTACAATCTCAGAAGATCATAGATTACGCAACAGATGAAGCTAGTGCAAAATAGTGAAAAAAGACAACACGAATTGCAATGTTGACATTACTCTTCCACTAAAGGCTCTTCGACCTATAAACACGACGTTTTCGACGTCTGAAGAAAGTCAATCACTAAAATCCTTAAAGAATCATAACCACCCGTCGTACCTTGCSCGCTCGTATTATTGTTTCCATACGTTTAAATGCGTCAAGCATACAATAAATTATAGATTGATAGTACCTGTGAGGTACTTAGTTAAAGGTATTTCTGTCCAAACTGAAAGGACGGAAGACGATTTGCGCTCACTTTAAGAAATCCTACAAATCCGCCATTTTCGTGTCCACCTAAAATGGCGCTTCGGTTCGCAAGGTACGGCGGGTGGTTATGATTCTTTAATAATGTGTTTATTTTTCAAAACTCGGGACGTGTGTTCTTGCTGTGACGTCAAAGCCTTCTGAGGCACCAGCCCTCTCGCTCGCAAAATCGTCCAAATCGTATGGGCGTGTCCCATAGGGACAACTTTGAAGCGCTATATCTTAAACAATATTTATCCAATGGAAAAAACATTCTTTGAATGTTTCACATACAATACAAAGAACATCAAAACAACCATTTTGGTGGGCTATAGTCCATGCATTTTGGTCAAAAATCGGCCATTTTAGATCGGAAGAGCAC